GACTTCAGCCATAAACTATAGCTTGCAGCAAATTGCACCCGTAGCTACTTTGACCGACACCTACAGTAAATGATATACAATTTGATGTTTGTAGCGACTCATGAGGCTTTTACAGAAACTGACAGTTTGGATAACAAAGAATCAAGTCCAGATTTGTGCATAACTTGCAACGGTGGACTCAAGTTTGGTAAATGTATATCGATCTAGAAAGCAGAAAGTCGAAGAACTTCGATGCACAGCACCGATTAGATCCTTTTATGCTGGAGGAAAACTCTATAAAATGTGCCTCCCAGAATTCTATGAGTGGACACCGGAGGTACGGTCGGTTGCATACGTGCATCATATGAACGCCTTTCCACCTCTCAAGTTGGCGTCTATTGTATAATAAGTGTTCAAATTGAAACCACTTTACAGAAGATTCTGGAAGGCTGCTGAAAAGCAGTATAAGGATAGGACAGAAGTACACAAGAGAGTTACACAATTTACACCAATAACAATGCAAATCCATTCAAATCTATACGAATGAACAAAATTATGTTAATTTTGAGGTATTAGCCAGAAGTACAGCTTTATTACCCCATTTCTCTTAAGTCGAAAACTACAGTCGAGTAGTATTGGGTGCTTGTCGAGTCCACAGATTGCAACAACCCAAACAGCAGACGCAACGATCGCCGGTGTAACGAGATTTCACGGTGTACAGAACTACAATTATTGCTGCCCCCGGAAGAAACCTCGCCGTATGTTTCCTCTTACCATACGTCTCGGCAATAATAGTCATGCGGAAATTTGTTTGCATCCGTTCTTATGTTCGGGACTGTCCAAATCGACTCTGAGCTGAAAACGTCACCAGAGTTCATCCATCACACGTGTGGTTTCATATCTCGGCCCCACTTGATGTCGTGTGTAACTTAACTTATTATAATTTACTCAAATAATTTCACCAACAAATTATCAAGAATGCAGTCATCAAATTTAGTAAAATATTATCTCATCTTATCTAAATAAACCTATTGAATTATGAGCAATTTATTATTACTGAAACTTTGCTCAATCCTGAACGTGGTAAATCAAATTTGCAAGAGGTATAACATAAAGTTGTTAGATTAATATTAAGTGTACTCTAGTTTCTATGTTAAGAAAACCTTATTATGCACACCTACACATCGAGTTCTATTGATCTCTTTGAAGCATCAAGAATTCCCAAACACATTGCTCGAAACAAATTACACGCCTTTGTTTGAATGCTAGATTATATATACTTCACTGTGCATCATACTCGTCATTTTTGGAAGTTGAATTAAACCAGGACTCCTAAGACTCGGCGGAAGCAATTAACGAATATATTTAGCTTAGATTCTACGTCCAAAAATCTCAGATATCTGCACCCGAATAAAAGTAGCAAATAGTGTATTTTTCCTTGAGTTTATTCAATATCACAATAAACACGACAGCATATTTGGCATCTTCTCACTAGAACTTGTGATGAATTTTCATTTCCATCACTATACCGCGCTGCTTCGTTTGAAAAATGCTTTCCAATGTAAGGTTCATCATGCACTGTCGCAAGTCGTATTTCTCCAGTTTCAAAATGCTGAAATCAAATTCAATGTTGGTTGTACCAACAACGATAATTCATAATCAGTATCATAATTGATTAAGTTTTTGATTTTTTAATAACATCAGTTTTATTAAAAAACTTTCAATCTTGATTTTTTATGACAAAATAAGACTCGGAGACTGCAAAATGATCTAGTGACGTTGACAAGCTCAAGTAATGATTAAACTGTGGCCACCATCAATCATCATTCATCCTTCCGTGCAAAGGTGGTATTCTACATATTTTGATGCTTTCTTGTATTGCTTTCATGATACGAAATACTGGGTTGAGTTGTAGTTCTCTGAGCCGAAAGTAAGCAATATAATACTTGGTGATTTCAATGCGCTAATGTTTTGCGTCTTCCTCTTGATTGATTTAAAACTGATGTGAAAACGCCACGTCACAAACATCAATTGAGATTTGATGTGCGAGGTAAAGTTTCACGTTTGCAATCCAAACACTTGGACTCTTGGATGCTGAGAAGACATTTGTGAGACTTATCCTTGTCGGACATAGTGATCGATTGTTAGCGATCATAACCAATGGTCAGAAGGATAAAATTCACTGTCAGATCTGGGTTGGTGAAGATGAGTGTTTTATTCGATGTGTGCATTTTTTGAATTTTTGACGTTGCTCCAACTTAAGAATGTGTAAATGTGACGTCTATAATATAAAATGCCACATCTTATGAGGACGGAGTTAAACTATTTTTTACTTCAAGCATGCTCATTTGCGAGTGCAATCTAGACTTAATCCATCTTGTGCACACTATAGTTACACATGAAGATGGTTCATTTATGTCATCACAAGGATAAATACATATATTTTGTTTAGTAATAGTATCCATACACTTCACAACTACTGCCATCAAGCACGCTCTTCGCGTCATGTTCATTATGATGATTGAACATGCAATGCACTATTGAGATGTATAGTCTTAAAATCAATATGAGTGTGTTATATAAAAATGACAGATTATCCTTACATAGCTTTTATAGTAATAAGTTATGTCTTTTATGTAAAATAAATAAGTAAGTCAATAATCCATGTGTTCTTCAAAACATATCTTTAATGTGTTATATATTAATTAATAGTTTTTTTTAATTCCTAGTTTTATTCAGTTCCACTCCTAAAGACTATTTGGATGATACTTTTTTTGATATTCTAGCTTTGAAAAAATGCAACATTATATGGAAAAAAATTATTGAATTACTTTCAACCTCAACATTTTTATTAGCGGTTCAAGTAATATTTCATCACTTTACTAGTAGAACAATCATATTATAACAAAAGTAATTCATTTTTTATGATGAATTATCACTCTTGGAATAACCACACATTGATTTTGAGTTAAATCATTGAAAGTTGATATAAAACTAATCTATGTTATAAATCTCTAAAAAATGTCTACACACAAGAAAAATGTTTAACAAAAATGTCTACATTTCTCAGTACTAGTGCTTGACATTCAAATTTATTTACCTAATGTCTATTAACTTAGGCTGAATTATATAAAAAATGCGTTTTCAAATTTCAATTTAATTGAAGCTAAAAAATTGATAATCTAGTTCATACATCATAATTTAAAAAAACTTGTATCAAAATTCACACAATTCATTTTAACTCACTTCTAAACTTTATACATTATGATTATGAAGAGTATGAGAAAATTTCAAATTTTATTTTATTTTCTTAGATTGATTGATTGATTTTCTTATGAAATAAAATTCATTTAAGTTCTAATACACATGAATTGATTGTAATATAAAAAAATTATTCATTCACATTTAATTCTTTCAAAGTTTGAATTTTGTGAAACACAAATCTGAAAACTTGAGTCTTTATGTTTGAATTTCTTATCAAAATAATGAAATTTTATTAGATTTTTTTTGTCTTTTTTGAAATTATTGATTTTTTTTTAAAATATTGAATACATTGATTCATTTCATCAAGTTTTTTCATACATTAATTGAAAATACACAGGCAATTTCTGATCCAAAATTGATGTTAAGCATTATACTGATGCATAAGAATTGAATTTGATTATATTTGTTTTTTGGTGTTCACATCAAAATATGAATGAAAATATATATTTTTCTTATCATATTCTATTTATATTATAATTTTTCATAATTACATATATATATATATTTGATATAACCAATATATTTCAACATATTTTAAAGTTATACAAGTTAAAATTTATCAATCATATTACACGTATTATGGAAGAATTCAAATTATATTCAAATCAGATTTTGATAGATACATTGAACTTTAATTACTTATATTGTTATTATAATTTAAATATCACAATTTTTTATACAAGTAAATTTTTTTTAATTCATATATATTCATCATGAAAATTATTACAAACATGTTTTTCATTATTTTTAATTCAAAGATATTATTTACAATTTTAAAGCAGAGAATTATTTTCTACGTATCATAAGAAAGAAAAAGCATCCTTTTGCAAAAATGTTAATTTTGATTTGTTTTATAGTTTAAATTTTCAAAGTGCAATCACTACAAGCTTTTTAAATCAAAACGCTTTGACTTGAAAGTCTTATACATACTATAACATTCATGATTTGCATGGATAATACCATACTGAAACAAAGAAAGTTTGGAATTTGAGAATTCAAAAGTGATATATTAAATTTTTTCTTTACAGAAATTAAATTATTTTATTTCTATTTTGCTTTCATGAAAAAATTATAATTGAAATCAAATTTATTCAATAACGAAAAAATTTCATTTACTATTATAAATTTTGACATGCAATGCAATAGATCAATAAATGCAAGTAGACTTTGTAGTCAAACATCCAAAACTGAATAATGAAACATTTTCTTTCGGTTCTAATTTGAAACCTACTATAAATCTTCGTGAATAAAACGTGATTAATTCTCCAAATCATATCTTACAAGTTTAACATGTGTTATTATTGAAAATCAATGAGATTGTGACTCTAGTTTTGTATTCTACTCTTCTTACCTCACTTATAATATACACTACACATATTTAGCAGATTGATATCAAGAGCAAATCAATGAACATGAAATTAGAAAAATTCATCCAGAATCCAGAGAGAAACTTGTGGATCACTTACATGAAAATCTAGTCTTGATAAACCTCAGATGAACTTATCATTGAGATGAAAATCTTTCTCTCACCATATAATTGATGAATTGAGAATGCTATGGATTCAAATTGTTCTAGAGTGATGCACATGCCACTTGCACAATCTTAATCTTTGCATATATTTTTCATGTGAATTCTTATCCGCCACGAAGAAATAAATCAGTGATATACCATGCGTATTGTACACAATCTCATGAGAAAGAAAGAAACCAACACTAGTAACGAAGAATAGTTACACATATGTTTTCAGTCCAACCTTAAAACGGAAAATTCATCAAAACTTACATCAGATGAATAAACACAGATTTTCGAACACTTGAATCTGTTCCTGGCTTGTACGGTCTAAACTGAGGCACTCAGGTCATAAATTTGGGTTCGACGTTTCCAACTGCAGTACAGTGAAGGTACACGATGGCTTAAAGGTTTGTGAAAGTGCCGTGCAGTGGCACACAGTGCAAGTCCCACGATGAGAACAAGCCTTTCGTTATGCTGTCCGTCTGCATTGCGACCTGGTGGAGTGGGTTCTTCTACCTAGCTCTCCTCTCAGCACACTCAAGACAGTAAGCCGAAAATTCATCTACAGGTTGCTGTGACATAGCAACAACCTGATTTTGCTTTGGTTCGTGACCATGAGTCCAGCTCTGGAATCGATGTATGGCTTCGAGTGATATGTATGCCTAGGTGATGATGTAAATTACCTGTGAGGTGTGATTTAGAAAAAACAGCCCTCGGGGGTTTTGGAAATGTTGATAAGCACACCTTCTGGTCTGGTCTGGTTCTAACACGAGTTTGAGCTTCTAGACCGAGTTCACACTAGAATACTTGATGGTTTGTAGAGTATTGCAATTATGTAATCTCGCTGCTTACTTCTGTCCGAGCAGACCGTGATCGACAATTGTTGGATATCAGTGCATCGGTCTCGATCAGGAGACAGAAGCATGTGAAGTACACTGTGATACAGAAAGGAGGCGACACCAGAATCGTACTCACCACAAGACGCAAGTCCATGCTGAATGGCTAAAGTACTCTTTCTCTGTAGAGTCATTAAAAATACATGCTTTGTGTACAAATACAACTCGTGCTTTCGTTGTGACACGATGTGCGAGTTGAAAAGATTGATGAAAAAATGTCAGCCTAGTATGGAGGAATCTGCTTCACTTTCTTCACGTTCTCACCTTCGTTCCTTCTTCGCATGAAGAGTGTTAAGTTCTGCAAGCATAATAATTGTGCAAGGCAGTTTCATCAGCCGCAGACGACCATACCCCTAAGCAAGATCATACTCCCTTTAGACCGGACCAGACTGTGTCACAGCTCCCACCTTCGCAATCCTTCACACCACTTGAGAACACACACTTTGGGCAGGAACGGAAAAGTTGGACATTGTAAGCAGGTGAAGAGAGTGCCTTACCTTCGTGATTAGATGAGAGAAAATGCCAATGGGGCACATCATCAAACACAGAACCAAAGAATGTCGCGTCTCAACGTTATGTTTCGCTCCGTCGAGGAAAACTTGTCTGGCAAAGACACACTCCACTCAGAATTCAGGCAGTTTCATACAAATCCAGGCGTTATCTACGTTTTGAATGAATTACCAGGGCATGAGCATTTCAACAAGTTAAGCTAAAAACGTGATGATTTGAACAAGAGGTGAGTCCAGTCATACCTGCCAGCAAAAAGGTCTGCTGCTAGTAAGTGTAGCCAAGCAGATGCCACCGTTATGGTGCTGGAGAACATCCGAGTAATGCCGGGAAGCTGAAAGACGCCCAGAAGGCAAGGCAGGTCTATGATTATCGTCTGTTAAATCTGATCCTGATCACCTTCTTCAGATCTTTCAACCGAGTGGCTCACGTGATAAGAAAGCAAACCCAGTCGCGTGGACTATATGCAAGTCCTATACTCTACCTCATACCTCACGGCATCACAATCATGCTCAGGTGAATTTCTTACCTCAGGGAGCCAGTACTTGCTGGAGAACATTAGTCCCAGAGTTTCCGGGGTCCAGGATAAAGCCAGAAGGTAAATGTAACCAGCTCCGAGAATCAAATACGGTATCTCACTTCGCATCAACCTGTCGGTCTGAGGCATCACGGAAGGTAAAAGCAATCAGATCACCGAGAGAGAGCATGCAGACGAAGTGTAAGCATTACGTGATCTGTCCAAGCTGCCAGGACTAGAGCAAACTCTCATGGTCCTCCCTCCCTGTCAGCAACTGATCCAGGATATGGGATAGGCTGACAAAGTGGGGAACATGCGCTCGCTCCTGAATCGGGAAGAGCAACAATTTTCAACGAATGAGGAGGGAAAGCAGTGATTGACGGACCGCTTACCCATTCCCACTTGGGAGCAAGAATCATGACCGTGTAGAACGGCACGACGATCGCAGTTGCTAGTGTGAACAGGTTGGCGGCTAGCTCCACTGACGCTGGTCCTGGCACTGGCACTATTGTGGACAAGTAGCATAAGTCAGATTGAGTGACTAGCTCCACCGAGATCGGACCTGGCACGGGCACTTTTTATAAACAAGAAACGGTAAGGCTCATGAAAGTCCCCAGGAACCACAATTTGAAGTAGTGATTCAAGTTAGACCGAGAGGGTGACTGGCACCGACGAGACTGGACTCGAAAAGAAACATTTCTCAAGAATCAGTGGCGAGTTGCAAAACGACTTTCTCGAGCTCAAATTGGCTATCATCTCTCCAGTCGATCGAGGGAATCATCAAAGGCCAGTACAAGGGAGGAATTTCATTCCTTCACCCCACTTACATGAAGCGGAAACCTGCCCTCTCGAAGCTTGCTTCAAGGGTGACGAGACGGTGGTGAGTTTCCGAAGCTCTGGTAGACCCGAGTTTCCGTCGAGGAACAGCGTCTTCGGCAGCTTCTCGATTCGATTCCTCCATAACCTCGGAGCAGAATTGCGTGACCTCGTACTGCACTGAACTACTGACGGCAGAACAGAGGTCGAAGCTTGCGTGTCCCCTCTGACGCTCCTAATGGCCTAGGGAACACAATCACCAAAGCAAGAAGGGAACCAACGACATGAATTAGACCTCCGGAGAAGGATTTGGGGTCTTCCCGTGAGCACTGACAGCATGCACAACTGCGAGGCCTAACCCGAAATTGCAATCGCTCATAAACCGGACCAACACCGAAGACGTCGTCGCCAGGATATGGACCTGCATCTTCGCCTGATTCGTGGTCACTAATGCATTCGACAACTGGAGGGCTCTGGAGCAGAGGGTGTTCATAATCGTCATCGAACTCGCATTCCCTGAATTCAAGTTCGAACGCGCAAACCCAACCCTTCCCGCCAACAAAAAATGCGCTCGAACGAACGAAGGCCTCGGCGCTGGCGCATGCGCTTTTGCGCTTTGAGCGAGCTACGTGCACACGAAACTTTTCCTCGCAAAAGTGCAGACGAAGCGCAGCGTAAAGCGCAAGCAGGTGTGGACAGAGCGAGCGCAGCGCGCGAATTTATGCGGGGGGGCGAGAAAAAGCGGAGCCGGATTTCCTGTCGTGAGGATCATCGACATCGACATCCAGAGGCGAGGAGGGGCGAGCTCCCGTCCCTGGTTTGCACCGAGTGGCAGGATTTGTGAATCCGGGAGGACCAAAGACGAGGCGACAGATCACCCCCTCGGTCGTCACGGCACTGTGAGCGACAGCCGACTCTCGCAGCATGCGACCCACATACTCCATCGTCGACGACGACGAAGAGAAGGCCCGGGGCCGACGTGCATGCAAGCGTGAGCCGATGATGCAATCAGTCGATCACTCGCTCGCTCGCTCACAGGACCTAACAGCAGATGAGGGGCCCCCAGATAATCGGTACCTGAGTCGCCACAGGAGCACTCGCGATGCACAGAGACTGCGCCATGGAAATATCGCATCCACAGGACCGTCGACTGTTGCAATTCTGCAACGAGCAGCTGCCTCCTGGCCTCTGCACAGTTCCCAGCTGCTTGTCCGATGCTCGCGACCGACCGGGCCAATGTGGGCTCCTCAGCTGTCAGCAGCAGCAGCAGCAGCAGCAGCGATTGAACTCACTCGGCCTCGCTCGGCCATCTTCTGCCTATTTATACTCCTCCTCCTCCTGCGAAACAGAATTCTCGAGCTCCCGCGCACGAGCCTATCAAAGGCCACTCTCGATTTGGCGTCTCGGTTCGGTCTTCCTCTCTGTCCGACACTGTCACTGTACTTGTTGACTTCTCTCTCTCTCTATGCTCCTCCGCTGTCACATCGTGAGCTAGAACATTTAGAATGTCGAATCCTCGACGACGACGACGACCACTCGGTGCCGCTAAAATGAAAGAGCCGAGGTCGAGGACAAAAGAATTGTCCGTGCGAGCGCAGCTGATAAATTTAGAAGAGAGGCCCGTGCATCATCTCGACCACCATCAGGATTGTGGTCCTGCTGCTGCTGCTGCTGCCGCCGCCTCCTGCCTGCCTTGCTGCCTGCGCAAGACGAGCACCACAGCGACGAGCAATTCCCCCTCTCGCCCCGTCCCGTCCCGTCCGGTGGCCGGTCACTGAGTCAGCGGGTGAGTCGGTCACCGGGCAGTGGAGTGCAGTGGAGTGGAGTGTCGCGGATAGAGGCACATTGCCGGCGCCCATTGGTCCGGCCGGGGGCTGCCCAGTGGAACACGGCTCCCGTGGATCTTGTGGGCCCCACCTCCGGGCCCACGCCCCTGCCGCCTGCCGCCTGCCGCCTTCCGTCACCTCACCTCACGCCTCCTCCTCGGGTCCATAGTACCCGTGTCCCACATGTTGCATCCTCCTCTGCCCTCGAACCTCCTTCTTCTTCTTCTCGCTCGAGGAATTAATTCTGCTGCTCAAAAGAGTGCAGCACACAAATTGCTCGACCCAATTGCCGGCCCATGAATCTTGTGCTTTCTTCGTGGGTGGTGGCGGAACTGGCCTTCTCTCTCTCTCTCTCTCTCTGCGCATTCGCTGAGTGCTGTGAAGGAGACAGTGCCCCAATCCGGTGGAGAGAGAAGTTTGCACAATCGGAGGTCGATCGATCGATCGTCGATGCTCATAGAGTCGGACGGAGCGAGAGTGCGGCATGTGGAGTCGTGACGTGCTCCATCATCTTCCGAAACTGATCCTCTCGATCCTCTCGACGACGGCACCGTCGAGAGGCAGAGGGCGGTTGGGCCGGCAGTAGCGCACACACGGCTCTCAACCAACCCGATGAAGAAAGAGCACGACACCGGTCTACCTCCCCCTGCTGCCCTCTGCCCTCCCTCACTGACTACGAAAAGTACACAAGGGAGAGAGTTCATGTGCATGTGCATGGTTGACTAATCAATCTCTCGCGCACATGCTTCCTCACGCAAATATTCCGCTCTCGTATGATGGATCACTCATTCGACGGACGCCTGGTTCAGCTCTGCTTCAGGGCACGAGAAGGGATGAGATGAGACGAAGCTTCAATCTCTCTCCCTCCTCGGATTCCTTCTTCGCTTCCCGAAGATGCCGATTCCTTCGCTGTAGCAGAAATTGACAGTCATAATGATTTGGGATGATTCCCACTTTGGCCTCGAGATTTTGCAAAGAATCCATTCTGCACTTTGATCTTTTCGATGCGCGACGCGGTTACGAGCCACAGGGACACGTAATCCCAAGAAAATGAATCTTTGGAGTGGTTTGTGATAAAACTATTCAGTAAGTTTCTAAAGATGGAGATTATGTTTTTCCATATATTTGAACCAATAACTATTTGTCATTTATACACATCTTTATATATTACAATTAGAAATGCATGTAAATATTTAGCATACAATGATATGGATGATTAAAACATGTAAAAAGTGTTTGAATTTAGCTACATTTTGTTGAAAAGCCTTCTTAAGCAATGAATAAGCTCAGTTAAAAAACCACTTACAATATTTAAGAAACCTATATATACAATTTATATGAAGAGAAGTTCCGCTCCAAAGATGAATCAACGATAATCCATAGGTGATACTCAATTCATCAAGTAGAATATTGTGATTATGTTTGGTATAAATCTGAGTGCAAGATTTTACCTCGAATTTCTTTTCTTTATGTTTAAAAAAGGGAGCAATCATTCCATGATCATAGTTGAATCTTGGTTTAAAATTAGTGTAATAATATCATATACGCAAACTTGGAACGTGGCTTCTATATTCACGTTCCAGATGTAAGAGCATCATCCTTAACGGCACTTCATCAAAATGTGGTGTAGAGTTCAAAGAAGGACTAAAGGATCCTAGGTCACGTCATTTATGATTGCTGAGATTCAATATTATGATTCAATTCTGCATCACGATATGCTCTAATTTAATGGGATAGGGAATATTATCATCTAAGAACCGAGACTGCGATTTTCAAAGACTATTCTCTCCATCTTGATAAGTCGGAAAGAAGATATTCCAATATCACGGTAGAAATCTGCAGTACTTTCCTCGCTCTGCGAAACGAGCAGTTTAAGCCCGTGCACGTGAATTGTTGACCATATCTAGGAAAAGAGATTATGTTGGATGTGTCATTATACCCAACCGCACAGATTTTTTTAAAAGACTGATCCGATACTTTCCGTATTTTCGTATTATTTTTGTTCATTTTCCGTATCATTTTCTCTTCGAGAGGAACAGTCCGGAAGGCCCTTTTGTATTCTTAGCTCTGAGAAGGGACATCGAGTCTTACGGTTTCGAGGAAAAGAGGATTGAAAACCTGGAGATTTTAACTCCGAGAAGGATTCACTCTGAAAGGAAATTTATGAAATATTAATATATAGTGAATAAAAGCGAGTGAAATTAGATTCCAAAGTGTATGATGTCAATACTTAGTTATTTTTAGATAACAATTAGTTATCAATATGTTTAGGTTAATTATTTCTCACTATACTCTACATAAGAGAGTTTTGTGATTAGTAAACTAGAAAAAAAAAGTGTGGATGTATGCTTCTTCTAAAATTGGAATGTTTTGGTGAATTGGCGGAGAAATACTGAGAATAGGAACAACATCAAGAGTACAACGTGCACAAGCATTAACTTGAACTTCATATAGTTCAAAATTGTAGTATCTAACATTATGTCCGAATTGCTCATAGAAACCATGCCGTTGTTGTTGTCGCTGTCGATACTCAGCTTGCTCAAACTCGAAAGGCATTATGCATGTTGAACCTGTCGATCGATAGCAGGTTGGTGAGTTCACATGCCCTCGTATCTCAATCACATATCCTGCTTTGACATGTGAAGCACCACGCCTTGACATTGTGAAGCTGCGTGGACATATTCATCAACTATCGTCCGCAGCGCAGCATCCAGAGTCGGCGCTGCCTCAAATTGTGGAACACGCGTAGGCTTCACCAACTATCACTACTGATCAAATTTATACACCAACAAAGTCATCGTACTACCCTTGAATGCATGCTCATAGGAAATGTCTATGTTGTTGAGAAAATGCGCTAACATTCATGTTGCTCAACTGATGGTGGATTGATCATTTTTTACGCTTGTTTCAGTACTTCTACTGAAATTTTGCCAAGAACATCACAAAACATAGACACAAGTTGCATCTACGCGAAGACACGCTTTCTTGTGTTTTGCCGGATAATCATTGCAAGTTGGTCGCTGCAAGCAAGCTATAGCACAGTATCTAAAGACAGAAGATCAAGATGTAAAGAAAGTCATCAATTTTTTAGCGCAGCATGCACACTCTCCATGCGCAAGGTGGACGAATGTCCATAATGCTTTTTACCACGCAAAAACACAATGACAAGCATGTAAAAATCATCAAAAGAGCGTTAATACATCAAAAATTGTGTCAAAACGATGACTATTGAATCAATAAATCAAAAGTTGCATCGATGCCTATTTTTACTTCAAAAGGAGCCAAATATTTTTGATATAATTCATGGAAACTTTCAAAAAGATGTCGCGCATAGGAGGAAGTTGTGCGTCATATGCTTCGATGTTCATCAAATTGACCATCAAATTCCAAGCATCCAAAAACTATTACCAATCTTCTTCAATCGCAAAGTTCTTATCTTGTTTTGCAAGTATGTTTTTGCTGATATGCCAATAGCACAACATCATGTCCGCATTTGAAAACAACACGTTCAACTTGTTTATTAACGCAAAACTCCAATCATGACAAAAGTTGTTGGAGAAACACTAAAATCGTTAAAAACCATGTATTTTACTCTTGTTGAGTGCTCACATGTATTTTTTCTCCTTCTCTTGTTGTACAAAGGAGTAGACAAAGATAAAGGTGTTGGCGATAGCGGTCATAGAAACAAGGTGGAGCAAGGAAAGTTCACACTTGTTGATTTTGTAGGTTGCATCTATTAAAAAGACGTGATTGGCAGCAAATCAACTTTTCCGATTACGATATGATCGGCGGGTGCGTAAATTTTTTCTCATCGTTCACTTGGGTGAAATGCTACATGCCTCTGGAAGCGGTCAAATTGTCAATCAACGCAAAAAAATGGAGACCTCTCTACAAGTATTTGAAGGGGCTTCTTTTGACGTAAGTTCCGGATGTCTCTTTCCGTTGCAAGTATCTCTTTGTTCTGTTGTAATGTCGTAACAATTCTGCTGGCCGTAACACTAGCACGATTAAGAGTAAATGTTGTCTCTCGATAGCCTCCTAGGACGCAGCCTTGTGGATGGGCGGTGAAAAGAACAAGGACATCATGGTTATGTTGGGCAGATTGGACTTGAATCTCTCATACAAATTCGACTTGTATTTCTTCTTTGCCGACTACTTTGCTTTTGATCTTTGCTTTGAATTCACAACTAGTGCTAGAGCTAAATGTGTTGCGCCTGAGAGTATTTTCATGAACAACCGGTTTATTCTAGTGAAAACACACAAGATCAAATTCCTTGATAGCTTCATCTTTTTTGTTACCAACCCTACGTCTGCGCTTAATCTCGACAGCGTAGCTCTGACTCAACAAGTAAGCTTTCACAACTGATAGCAAAGCATGTAATGTTGTGTGGAAGAACTCTAGCGATGGAACGAGCTGGAACATGAATTTGCATCAGCGATTGTATCATGGGTGTGAGTTAAGTTGTGTATTGAACTTCCATCGCGCATCATAAGTTCTTCCTGCCCTTTGCTTCACTTTAGCGCAAAAGTGGATTTCACACTCAAGCTTAATTTGATTAATCTTACATTTAATACAGCCGTGCGCTCTGATTGCAATCGAGTCAATTCTAACCATATATTATAACCCAATAGATTCCTTTATGTCAAGAATCAAAGTGTCATAGTTTCGTTGCCATATGCTTCCATGCAGTGCACTACTTCCAATTTTTTCCCTTTGTCCTGTCCCTACAAAAATTGTATCTCGGTCTTGTCTCGTTATCATATGTTTTCATGTTGTGCACTACTTCTCATTCTTCTTATTCCCACGAAAACTATATTCATGTTCATGTCCTTGCATGGTATTGAAAGCATTTTTGTGTCTCTATGATCCATTATGGAATTCTTTTATGTAGAGTTATTAGGATGAAGGATAATTAGTCTGAACTACATGAAAACTAGCCGCTTGTTTTTGTTGGAATGTACTATTATGGTCAACGTATATGGTTTGACACTATTTTTGAGCTGGCCCCAAAGCTTTTATCTTTAA